TGTAATTAGCCTTGTGTAAGGGGGGGCTTTTGACAAATAATCCCATATAATAATTGATACGGTATAAAAATAGGATAAATTACCACAATCCATGAAGTATGGTCAAATTACAAAAAAACCACTCATGTTTGATAATTACAACTACCCATTAACTATGAATCTTCTTACACGTCATTCTTATGATATCAAATTCAACATAATCTTCTACATTCCGTGGAATGTTCTCTAGTTTGTTTCTCGTTTTGTGAAAAAAATGCAGCTTATGATGCACCACAATCTCATATATACAAACAAAAAAACACATCTTATGATCATCTTGCTTCAAAATATAGAGCTCGAATGGGAAAAAAAAAACAAGTGCAAACAGAAGGATTTATAGTTGAGGGGTGTTTATAATTACCCAAACATGAGGGGTTTTTCGTAATTTGACTATGCCTCAGGGGTGGTTGTAATTTACCCTTTTATTTATAAATATATTGTTTTTTAAGAAAACAGCAAAAGTTATATTCAATACGTTCGAACCTCGACAGATTAATAATCTCGTTTAAATAATAGTTTTTTTCTGATCCCCAACTCAAGAACAACGTGTTAAAAAAATATTTCGCTAAATTAAAGATGGATGGTCTTCGACTTGTATAAGGCAACCTTTGAACCTCACCTCAGCTGAAGCCAAAGCCGCTCTATTAATAGTGAAGTACCTACTGTTGGGATGTGAAGCCCAAGAGTCAATGAAAATTCGCAAGAGGTTCTAGATTAGCCGGTTTTAATTTTATTAAAATGCTTTGATTAGATTTGTTTAAAGCGGAATAAATCTAATCTAGCAACTTACATTTTTCACGAGCAGATTCGTTTCTATCTTCGGCGCACGAACGGGGATCCACACACAAGGCCTTCAATCCTCGAAAAACTATTGTCCAGGAATTTCCAGCCATCGTCCTTCACCAATATCTCCGTGATGGTTGATCTGATTGAGAAACCTTTCGGACAGATTATAATACTATGGGTTAGGAAACTACTATATAATTTTCAAGCATATCCGATGAACGGTTATTAATAGTGAAGTACCTACTGTTGGGATGTGAAGCCCAAGAGTCAATGAAAATTCGCAAGAGGTTCTAGATTAGCCGGTTTTAATTTTATTAAAATGCTTTGATTAGATTTGTTTAAAGCGGAATAAATCTAATCTAGCAACTTACATTTTTCACGAGCAGATTCGTTTCTATCTTCGGCGCACGAACGAGGATCCACACACATGGCCTTCAATCCTCGAAAAACTATTGTCCAGGAATTTCCAGCCATCGTCCTTCACCAATATCTCCGTGATGGTTGATCTGATTGAGAAACCTTTCGGACAGATTATAATACTATGGGTTAGGAAACTACTATATAATTTTCAAGCATATCAGATGAACGGTTATTAATAGTGAAGTACCTACTGTTGGGATGTGAAGCCCAAGAGTCAAG